GGCAAGAGCTGCGAGGATGTTTGTCATAGCCACAAAAGTAACATTTTTGTTGTATCGCTGATACTGTTGGTTGATTATTATCAGGTTTGATCATTGAAGTAGTATCCTCGGTTAGAGCGTTCACAGATCCTTGAGTCAGAGGCATGCTATACACTTCAGATTGCTTTTGAGCCATTTCCAATGCCCGAGACCGAGTTACAGCTTCCTCTAATTTCAATGTGTTGTTCTCCAATAAGCGTTGACGAATATTGTTAGACAAAAGACCATTGATAAAAGAATCTCGAATATATTCATCTCTGTATTCGATGGCCGAAACGGATTTAAAAGCACATTCCTTAGATAAGATTTTTAAAAACCCAAGGTATCGATCAATAGATTCATTCATTTGCTGTTTTCTTGTGGCTAAAAAATGCCGAGCAAAGATCTCATTTTTTTGTTTGATGTAGATATCAGTCAATATTTTGATAGCTGCTCCGTACGTTGTACATTCGCTGACACTGTCATATACTGAGTGTCCTAAAAAGTTAGTGAGTACCTTGAGTTTGTCTTCCTCCTTTACTTTTGCTACTTCGACAAAATTATTGAATGTTGTGATCCAGTGAGCCCATTCTTTTGCTGATGTTGGGGAATTAGGATCAGTCTCGAAACGATCAGGGCGCAGTAACTCTTCCATTGAAAGAATAATTATGTTTATTAAATTGTTGTATAATAATTAGACGAGAGAACCTTAGTAAAGTAGGCTTTAATAAACATAATTATTAGTGTACACATGTTATAGTATATGGAAGTACAGAGCTACAGTATATTACATAAGAGTATATATGATTAACTTTGTAGGTTAGTTTTAGTAAGACTATTATCTTATCACAATACCATAGTTTGGAATTCAAAGTAAACACATATTTAGTGATTTGTGATTCTATAATAGAAGAATTAACAAGTCGAAAGTTAGCTTACGATAATGTCATAACAAAGTATAGTTTTTTTTTAAGACTCACAAAGATAAAACCATCAGAAGTACGTGTTTTAGCTGAACATTTGTACTCAATGTATACAAAAGATTTGGATGTAACATTTATTAACGAATGTGTTCATTTTCAAAGTTATATTCAAAGTATGAAAAATTCTAAATCAACTATAATTGATATGAGTTCTATGTTAAAAATAGAAGGATCAGAAGACATTTACCCGTTTGTTAGTATTGCTTTGCTTTACACATGTTTTTATGTACTCCCTGTTCAAACTGTACCGCTGAACGGTCATTTTCAACTTTACGCTGAATAAAAACATACCTAAGGTCAACAATTTCTAAAGAGAGATTAAACTCACATGCAATATTAAATATTGAATCAGAAATAACAAAACAAATTAAATATGAAGATATTATAGATCATTTTGCTGATATTCAATCAAGAAAAAAATTGTAAAATAAACAATAAATATTATTATATTACTATATTGTCTATATTATAGTACATATTATTAATTGTATATCATTCTTTATTATTTGAATCATGGAAGATTCTAGGTAGATAGTACCTAAGACCTAAGTTATAAACTAGTTACTTATGTTTTTTTTGTATAGTTTACCTACTATTTAAAATCTAATATTGGAATGCATAGGTGAATAGTTAAAATTGCTAAAAATTAACTGCAAATTAAATTTCAATGAGAAAGGGAAACATAAAAAATGAATTAATGTTATGCCCCCCCCCCCAAAAAAAAAATAAAATTTAGCCACCACTTCTATGGTATTAAAAAAAAATGTGTTGGAAAGGGGCGCCATAAATATTGTGCCCGGGGGCGAAAAATCCCTAAATACGGCCCTGAATAATATTATACTCATGTTCCAGATTTTATTATGAGTGTTTATTTCCAGAATTAACTAGGTAGGTAATCCTTAATTTGAAAAAAAGATTAATATTAAAGATTCTGATATGATTTTGAAAAGCAAGAAGCCAAGAAAAATATCTGTACATAACCTGTAATAATGAATAAATCGGGTAACTAAGAAAAATATTTGTTGATTATTGTAGTTTTTGTATATGTCCTGGTAAATGAATAATCAGTGCCTAATCAATGTAATTTTAATGAAAATATACTTATTCATTAACTTTAGCACTCCTAAGAATTGTTTAAGATTAAAAATATAATTTTGATGAAAAATACCTAACTGTTTATAAAAATTGACATTGACGCCAAAGTCCATGTTAACATAGGCCCATGGGCCGATAAATTAAAAAAAATGTTTATTTACACATTTTGCTTACATCATAACTTTATTGAGCATGAATATATTTAAGTCATGATTATGAGTAAATGTATATTAGGGTAGCTCTATAATTAAGAGGACACCACATCTGCATATATTGTCTCCGTCTTACAAGTGCATAAAATAGAAAAATGTTATGCTTAGCAGAACAAGTGTAGCTCTGTTAGTTTAAAAATTACTGTGAATTGATCTATTATCAAATGTGCGAGTAAGAATATTATCTAGTGAACCTCATTGGTTTTTTTTTTTTTAATTTTTATGTTTTAACAAATTACGGAGTTACACGTGTTCTGCTGAGCGTATAATTTGCTATGTTAAGCACTTGTAAAACGGAGACAACACATGCAGGTGTGGCATTCTCTTAAGCCGCGTACAAAAATGTAACATTTGCGCATAACATTATTTGATGCTGTCAAATTTACCGACAATTGGTGGAACGGTGTTACGGCGTAACAGAAAATGTTACAAGTGTGTACGCGGCTTTAGATATTGTGGCCACAAATATTTGAAATTGCCCAGCCAAATTTAAAAAAACTACAGTGCACTGAAATTTAATGTGTAAGATTTTCTATTAAATTGAGCTATACAATACTTATAGAAATATTTTATTTCAGTGAAAAGTGGTTTTATAAGATACCTAGTTAGATAGTTAATATTATTATACAATATAAACCTATAGAAGTTAACCCTTTGACGAGTAAAGATTGACATATTTCAGATTTCTGTTGTTTCCTCTGTCTTTAACGGAGTTTTAAGAAACTGGTATTATCAATATGTACAAGATAATGAAGTATGTGCTGCTTTCTATTGGTAAATAGAAAATATAATAAAATAAAAAATTTTTATTATTGTTTATATATATACTAGCTGATCCCGTGCACTTCGTTTCCCGTTAAATGTACCAACTCTATATTATGACTCAAACATTGTTCAAAGCGTTATTTAATATTCAGTGTATGATGTTCTAGATTTATCTTAACTTTTCTGTTGCCTGGAATAAAAATTCTGTTTCGCAGCAGTACCTATATTATCAGGTAGGCAATTTACCTGTGGTAGATCGCGGACCCCGTGCTGTTTGTACGTAAGTGTATGATTCAACTCAAAAAGTACCAAAGTTATACCAAGTTTGACGTTTTTACTTAATTCCACATACCTATAAATCCTAACCTGACCTCACCGTACTAAAATCCGATGAATAAAAAAAACCAAATTTAACCCTTTTTAAATTAGCGTATCTTCTTCCCATAGGTCTAATCTACACACCATCATTCATTTATATTTAAGATATATTGACAAAAAATAATAATACAAATCAACAAACATGCCTGATTAACCAATAGCAACCAATATAATATAATACACCATAGAGTAAATAAAGACAACGGTATCGAGTTCAAATCCCAGACATCAATAAATAGTTATTGCAGTTTTTCTAATTATTCAGTTGACTTTTTAAAAATTTTCCTTCGTAAAAACCTTCACCTATTAATTACGAACATCTTAAACAAAAATTAAACCTATAGAAGTTAACCCTTTGACGAGTAAAGATTGACGTATTTCAGATTTGTTGTTTCCTCTGTCTTTAACGGAGTTTTAAGAAACTGGTATTATCAATACGTACAAGATAATGAAGTATGTGCTGCTTTCTATTGGTAAATAGAAAATATAATAAAATAAAAAAATTGAGTCCAAAAATCTAAGACGTCAAATGACGTCTTTATTTTAACCAAAATACCAATATTTGTGTAAAAACAATTCATTCTCTGAGTAATCTTACAAAATAATATTCCCTCGTCAAAGGGTTAATATGTCAAAAGCTTTTCTTTACTTGTTAGTTGTTTATATATATATATATAAAAGGTCTATGAGGGTGAGCGATCATATGAAAAACTTTTGGACGACTAGTACGCGACTATACATAGCGCATAAAAAATATCGAGAAAAATATAAAAGTAAACGCCTGTGATATGATATTCAACTATATTACAATATTCAATGGCAATGGGATTGGAGGAGATTTGTTACAATTGGCTGCCGAGTAGCGGTAAGGAGCGCCATGCAACCTCTTGTGCGTTAACTTCGAACTATATTAAAGATGACATGATTTAACAAAAATAAAATTCCAAAATTAAAAATCGAAAAAATGCTTTTAGGTGCATTCTGATATTAAAACTATTATTGAACAAACATAAATGAAAACCTCTGAGCGTAAAAAATTTGCTTTGTTACACAATTGTCATACAGAAAAAAACACACATGGGAATAAACCCCGAATAAAACATATGGGACTTATGGGAATAAGAGTTGTGTTATGCACTTCTAAGACGGATACAACAAATATCTGTGTAGCGTCCTCTTAAATAACAAATATAATTATAATAACTCAGACAATGCTTAACCACATACATAGGCATATACCAACATACATTTATAAAAACATACCGTATTCTGTTGAAGCATTTTACAAATAAATATAAATCTTAAATGTTAATTAAGTAGGTAGGTAGGTATATAACTTAACACGTAGACTGTGTATGTTTTTTTGCAGTTATCACCCAGTGCGTATGATAAAAGTAAAAACAAAAGAAATTAAAAAAAATATAAAGAAACTGCTCATAACGACGTATGTATACATATTTAAAAACATGCGTTTAATCCACGCTAAATAATAATAAAATAACATTCAGCCACGCGTAGGGAATTTTAAACCATTTATTTTATATGTATATTAGACGCCAAATGGCGTCAAACGCGTTGCTGAATGATACTTATGATGCCAATTGGCGTTAGTACGCAGTGAACGTGTTAAGTTTATAAATTTCAAATAAAAAATCTTAAATTTAATATTACATATCTCGCTTACTCTTTTCTTAGCAATATAATCCAGTACAATATAAGATTCATTTGCTGTGTTCATCAGTGCATGAAAGTTGTCTAGTGTTACAGAGCAGCATTTGCAAATCATATTGGGCATATTGGGCAAACCATCATCGGACTTGATCTAAGGAAAATTCAAAAAATTAATTTCATTTCAATGTTTTTACTAATTAGATTGTCATAACTAAATACGTACATTGATTTTAAGCCAATCAAAAATTATCTCTTTTGACTCTTGCCCGTCGAAGAGCGTCGTGATGTGTACAAACGGTTCATGACCATCTGTATGACGCTCGGTCAAACATATTCTACACACATCAAAATTTTCAATAAGTAGAAATGCTTGACTCATGGTGGAATCGAAGATCCAAACGGCAGTCGAAAACAAAAACAGCGGTGACTATGCGCGCACAACGTAGTTAGACTGAATAGTCGATATTCTGTAATGAAACTCAAATCGTTATTTAATAACTAACACAATATTCAGTTCGGTTCAACCAGACCGGCGACGACGGCACTAATAATGCCGAAAACAAAAACGGCGGTGACCGGGCGCGCACAACGTAGTTAGACTTATTCTGATCGGTTCGAGCAGACGGGCGACGACGGTACTTATAAAGTCGAAAACAAAAACGGCGGTGACTAGGCGCGCACAACGTAGGTAGTTAGACTTATTCTGTTCGGTTCGAGCAGACGGGCGACGACGGCACTAATAATGCCGAAAACAAAAACGGCGGTGACCAGGCGCGCACAACGTAGGTAGACTTATTCAGTTCGGTTCGAGCAGACCGGTGACGACAGTACTTATAATGTCGAAAACAAAAACGGCGGTGACCGGGCGCGCACAACGTAGGTAGTTAGACTTATTCTGTTCGGTTCAAGCAGACCGGCGACGACGGCACTAATAATATCGAAAACCAAAACGGCGGCGACTAACCATGCACGACGTAGACTTATTCAGTCTATTCGACCGTCGTGAAACTCAAATCGTTATTTAATAACTAACACAATATTCAGTTCGGTTCAACCAGACCGGCGACGACGGCACTAATAATGCCGAAAACAAACACAGCGGTGACCGGGCGCGCACAACGTAGTTAGACTTATTCTGATCGGTTCGAGCAGACGGGCGACGACGGCACTAATAACGTCGAAAACAAAAACGGCGGTGACCGGGCGCGCACAACGTAGGTAGTTAGACTTATTCTGTTCGGTTCGAGCAGACGGGCGACGACGGCACTAATAAAGACGAACACCAAAATGGCGGCAACTTACCACGCACGACGTAGTTGTGTAGACTTATTCAGTCTATTCGACCGTCGTGAAACTCAAATCGTTGTTTAACAATATTAACAGAGGATTCGGTTGTGTTCGGCAGCACTAATAAGTAATAAAGACAATACGGGCGAAAATTGCGAGCGGCAGAAACAATGCGATCAGACGTCAGCTACAAACGGCGGGTGATCGGAGGTGCGTTGCCTAAACGGCCAATATGGTACCAATCACGTATTTGCCGTTGCCTAAACAGCCAGGCCGCTTGTCTCATGCGTTGCCTTGACGGCTTTTGTAGTTTTGTGCACGATTAAAGATATACCTAGGTATATCTTTAATCGTGGTTTTGTGTATCCTGGCCGTCGCTAAACCATAGATATTAAAGATCTTTAATATCTATGGCTAAACCGGCCATCCAGTAGAGCAGAATCGTCGACGGCCTGTCGCTGATAAGATAATACTTTGTTGATAATGGCATAAATTTAATAAATTATCGAATTTTCGAAATATCGGAATAATGAATATTTAGTATTAATAAATAATAATAAATAATAATGGCTCTACAATTTGTGAAGTTTATTCTTAATGAGAACAAACCCATCTTTAATGATGACCCCAACTGCCCACATCAAGTGCTTTGTGAGGTCATAACCACAGGTAAATTAAGAAATTAGCAATTAATTTAATATGTGCTCGTTCTAACAATATTCTGTTTAGACTAATATATATTTTATCTTTCACTACAAAGTAGGTACTAAGACACTAAGTCCTTTGTTAACAACGGTCCGATACATTTTTAAGTACTTGTACTGCTATTACAAAAATGTTGAAATAGCAATAATTATATAATAAACAATTTATCCATATAAATCCTAACAAATTATTTTGAAAATGTTGTACCTATCACTTTTGTTTTGTATAAGTTTCTAATCCTAATCTGAAATCTGTCATAACAACATTATATTCTATTCCTCCTATCATCCATTTCTTTCTTGTTATATGTAATAGAAAGTCAAAAAGAGATGGCATTTATTAATGTAGACATTGTGAAATTACTATACCGATCAAAAACAAGATATTAGTAATGAATAAGGACCCCAGACCAAGTTCAAATTTAATCATTAAATAAATTATAATTCATTAAAAAATTATTTAACATTTATTTCATCTCAATATTTTATGAAAATTGGTGAAAAACTGTAGATTTACATCCATTTTATGCCTTTAATTTTATATAGTAGATATATTTTTAAATTATGGCTGATTCTGCATGGTGTTGCTGGAGACTTATTATATAATGGCAGTGGCTTTATTATGTTATAAACTTCATTAACTATAAACTACACATTACTATTAACAGTAATTTGGATGGTTTTGACACGATATAAAATATGGATCTAAATTCATATCCAATTATTATGACAAATTCCTACATGAGCCCCTTTTTAAAAATTGAATCTGAATATCAAGTGTTTGACTTCACCATGTTTGAAGTATTTATACCAAATTATTGTTTTAATATTAATCTTCAGTGGAAAAGGAAATATTATATAGGAATGTACATAATCATATAACGCAATCAATAGAAAATTCAAAATAGTTTTAATAAATTAATATACGGGCATTTGATACAAAATATATACAATGTAAATATAAAACAAGAAAGCATAAATTTCACTCAATACAAATCTATACATAATAATATGTGAAAATAAGGGACATTTTCAAGTATATGCAGGCAAACATATTTTACAATATATAATGGGAAATTGAGTTTTATGGTACACTAAAAAAAGTTTCTATTGATTTGACCCACAATCTCAGAGAATATAAGTAATTACTAATTTATAGACAATGATTAATGTGATGGACACAATACATACAAAATACAAATGACTTAATACATTTTGCGTAGAAAAAAATACATATAAATAAATAATTAGAAAAATGATTAAAAACAAATTTATACAAATAAATTAGTTTAACAACTATTTTAGTTTGTTTCTACACAGATAATAATTGTACTTTTTACATAGGACAATCTTCAATACAATTTAAAAACTATTATAAACAAAACATAAATTCTAATACATTAAAATCTTTGTTTTCCTGTATCCCAACTTATTTTTGGTCTGTCATCCGTATCCTAAACCTCCAAATAAAACAATCTCCCACAACATCTACGCCTACCACCAGCACTCCTATAATATCGCCCTCAATCACATTCAACCACCTATTTTTCTTTCATCATACATTCATACATTATAATAACCATTCTTACATCTTCTGATTTCTCTCTCCTAAAAACATACCCAAACCATCTCAGTTTATTCTCTCTTATCTTGCGAACGGTCGACACCACAATATTCTTCTTCTTACAGTCTTTACAGTTTACATATTCATTCCTTTTCCTATCTTCTTCCATCAGTCCACTCATTTATCTAAGCATTCTCATCATCTGCTCTATTTCCATGTCAACCAAACAATACAACATAATTGTTCTCACTACACTCTTATAGAATTCATCTTTCATTCACATTTAAAATAGATATAATGAACTATTAATGTTTAATAATTTACAGTACAGTAATATTTTCACATTATTATTATTATTATAATATAATGATACATACAAAATAAAATTTACTAAGATTACTACAAAATTAAAAATTATTATATTAATAACTATTACGTACGTTTATACTGTTACGTCTTGAGAATAAATAGATAAAGAGAGAGAGAAATGAGAATGCGAGTACAAATAAAAATTAAAAATCAATGATCATAATATTATATTAATATCATTAATATAATATTACTACAAAGTCATGAATGCTGGTTGAGTACTTGAGTATAAAGGGTGTGTCTTCTGATAATTGATAAATATTAATCGCTGATAGCGGTTTTCGCGTTGCCTTCCAACAATCAAAAATTTGGCCGCATGTCGTTATCAAAATCAGATAAGCCGTAATAAGTCTGGCTGTTCAGGCAACGCACCTATGGGCATGACTGGTATGACAAGAAAACATTACATTACATTGTATATTATATTAATAATGCTGTATATTTAAATAGGTACTGTTTAAAATATTTTGTTTTCAGCTGAAAAGTATGATATTTCAAAGGAACTTTGAGACAATTATGCTTCGAGTCCCAGACATGGACAGAAGAAGCTCAAACAATTGTAGCTCATGCTGAGTGTTGATCCAAAAATAATGGGTACTTAACCAATACCTGCCTTGTTGTCTATTGAAGACTGTAAGTATAAACAATGTCTAATTAGTGACAAAAGTAATTTTAATACAATATTTAATGTACGTGATTTATCTTTTGACTTATAAAAATAACTGTGTTCATGATGCACATAATTTACAGTGAGTAATTAACCCAAAATGTTTTTACTTTCTTAGATTGAAAAAGTCGGTTGGTCAGTCGATAGCGTTGATATTTTTGAATTAAATGAAGCGTTTGCTGCTCAATCAATTGCTGTAGTGCTTGATTTAGGATTAAATTCAGATAGAGTGAATATCAATGGAGGTGCAATTCTATTGGGTCATCATATTGGAGCATCTGGTATAATTATTTTTTTTTAATTATACCTATGTTAATTTCTTAAAATAAAAATAAAAAAAAAAAAAATTCTTTTAAGTAAAAAAAAAATTAACGAAATACGGCCTTTTCTACAGGGGGTTCTAGTTTTTCCTGTAAGACATGTTTTTGTACTTAAAAACACACCGCATCTGACTCCATCAGTTTTAAAATATGTCATTTTTAGAAGACTGCTGTTTTTTACTTCTTTTATAAGCACTTGGAGAAAACTGTAAAAATACATGCTCAGTCAACGTGTTAAATGTTATAATTTCATATTAAGAGGATTTCAGAGTAATAATTGTTTTTTCTAACAGACCCACACACAGCATAGATTGCATTTTAACTTTATATATTTTATTATAATATTGTAATGAAAAATTGCTTTTAAACAATTAAATTAATATTACTAAATTGTATGATCCATTTAATCAGGTGCACAAGTATTGGTAACGCTGGCGCAAGTCTTGTTGAGGACCGGAAAAAAACCAG